CGCCTAGGCTGCACTGTCGAGCGCAGATCCACTGAGCGCTCAACACAGACAGCATCGTCAGAAGGAAAGTTGATAAAATAAATTAAAAATGTATTGTTCGATACATATGCATACCGAACCGAAAGCACTGTATCGAACGGTTCAATATCGATACAAGTATTGTTGCACCCCTAATATATATATGCACCAGAGTGTTTAAATAATGGAATCACTGTTATAAGCCTTTAACCTGCATGTTTAAAATCACAAGACCCACATCTTTAGATCAAATATTATTCACAAGTGTATTAATGAAATTGGTGCTACTTGTTGAATGAGCATATGTGATCAATACTGTCTGAAATGTACTGATTAGGATCAATAAGTAACCTTTGATTGTATTATGGCCAATGGTAACCAGTCCAGACAAAGGGTTAAATAAACTTTGCCCCGCTGAGCTACACCTGGAAGCTTCTCCGCTGCCAGAAAGTGATGAAGCACCCATCTCTATCCCATAAAAGTAAACAAAACTTGGCTGCCTATGAGTGCACCTGGGACACTTTTGCCGGTCTCTGGTTGCCAAAATTGTGAAAAAAACTTTTTTAACGTGTATAGCAGCCCACCCCTGGCAGTGAACCCGACTTAGCTGTAAGGAAGATTAATTGTTTTCTCTTTGCTGTATGTTTGATATCTGTAGTTTTCCGGAGTTTTGGTCATAGAACTGTCAAAAAGTACCCAATAAAAAGGATTGATGTTGGGAACAGTGCTCGGAGAGTTATGGAGCAGTGTCAGAAGGTTATGTAAGGCAAGTGTTGGAGATTTAAGAAGAACAAAGTGCAAAATTGATAATTAACTGGGGAAAAGTATTGACAAACATATTATATCGATAATTGGGGTTAATGTTGACATTTGTAGAGTTGAGAAAATACGTATTAGTCTAATTTTTGATATTGTACAGGGAAAAAGGAAGGAATGGAAAAATACCCAACATCAGGAGGAGGGGACACCGACCCTATATAAAGAGGAGGGTCGAGATGTCCCGGGCTGTTGTGTATTAAACTCTATACCAAGAATTCTACTCTTTTCCAGAGCCTCTTTTGAATGCATTGATTTTAATTGGATCTGAAAAGCTGGACTTCCACATCATTGGCTTACCATATTGGCTTAAAAATTTGCAACCACGACATACATGAGATGATGGGACTTCATTTAACAGTATTACAGTATTTTTAATAAGGTAATGGGTAAAAATAGTGTTAACAAAGCCAAATTTTTACATTTGCCTGTCAGTGGAAAATCAGGTCATCATCACAATCAGTCAGCATCACCAGTGCATTTAAATTATGTTCTTCATCCCAGTACATGCTACTGGGACAATGCTAGTTAACACAGATGAATTACAACCTGACTCATGAAGCCGCATTTTGTTTGAAGTAGATCAATAATTTAATTAATCTAAGCTCTCTCCCTCTCTGGTATCTTTTATTTTGCACCAAACATTATAAACTAATCACGAGGTTGGTGCTGTTACAGCTCGTCCTCTATCCATGCCAATTTTACTGCAGGCAAAATTATTTCTGAATAGAAAATTCTAGTTGACTATGTGGTCTCATTTCTTCACCAGATAATTAAGAAATGGTTTAATTGGTTTTCACATTAGTTTATCAAGAATAAGAACCAATATGCAAAACTTTGTGATGTTTTAAGATTGTATCAAAAATGAGTTTTAGTTGTGGAATTAAATTACTGAAACGTTTTTTAATTAAAATTCATAATTAAAGATATTTAGCAGAGATGCATAAAAATGTGACAAAATGTAGAACACAGTGCAGCATGATGTACAGCTAATAAATCAAAAACACACTTACATTTTCTTAGACCTGGTCTCATCCACTGGTCTCCTTGAGGCTCCACACTGAAATAAGCACATTATCATTTAGTGCAAAAACATGGCCTTTATATTCTCTGAGTCATCTCTTCTAGAGAAATTATCTTGTGCTTTATTTGATCTCACAATAAAGTGAAAATGATCATATTTTCTCATTTACCCATTTAAGGTTTTATTTTTGTTTTTATGTATCAACGCACAATTAGAAAAATTATTTGGTCTGCATCAGATGAAGTGTATAAGAGATGTAAAAAGCCAAAATCCTGTATAAAGAACACTCTGTATAAAACAGTGCACCCCTGTAGGATCACCTCAACAATGAGTAGTAATTGAATAACTTAAGAAGAATCATTTACAGAAGAATTCTTGTGTTTTTCACATGACTATATCTGCACTGCATGAAATAGCAAGTGCTTATTTCACTTTTATTTGACACTAGGAACGTCAAAATCCTGTTTTAATGCTTACAGTGGATCAGCATTTATTGGCATAAAGGTACACAGTAAGCTCCAAACTGAGAGTAACTCTGGGAAGACAACCTGACCCAAAACACTGGCAAGGTATAACAATAAATGTGGTAAGGAGGGAGCAATGAAACAAAAGTGTAACATGATGTCATGATGGATTTTTGGAGTTTGGAGTTTTGGGATGTTTGGGTTTTTCTGGTTTTTCACTTTTGATTATTCTTGGTTTCATGATTATATATTCTGTATTGGTTTCATACTTTCTTGTAGAAGCATTTCTTGGTTTCAGTCTGGTTTATTTTCTGCCTCCCTGTGTTTCTGTCACTACAATGTGTTTGTTCATTCTTATAGTTACATAGGTTTTAAGCTATTTGAGTCTGAGTCAGCTTCTGTCTTTGTCATTGTTGTTCCAGCATTGGTGGGAAAATATTCTGTAAATTAGTCAGATTGTCTATTCTTATTAATGTACAGAATTCACCTGCTTGCTGCTACTACTGCACATTCACCTAATGTATATACTATATATATAATGTTCTTCCTCTACCCCCCCCCCTTTTTTGCACATGTCGAGGAGCGTGTCAGGTTACATTTCACTGTGTGTTATAAGTGTATAACTATGCATGTGACAAATAAAGAACCTTGAACTTGAGTTACGCTGCAGGTCTAGGCTGCTGGGGGATTCCCATG